AAAAAAAAAAAAAAAGGAAACTCAGGTCAACCCCAAATCACAGCCAGTCAAATTCCCTGGGCTTACTAACCCCTCGTCCCTCTCCCTTCCAGGCTAAGCTGCCACAATTGTCTCTTCCGAATGAACTCCCGGCACCATAATTATTTGGGGAGCTCCTCTCTGGACCCATTTTCACGTTCTATGACTTTTGTCGTAACTGGGGAAATGATATCCTGATAAAACGCTAATGAACGCTTCATATCTTCAGCTGTATTTCCGAACGTCACGTTTCCCGGGCAGTTCGAAACGTTTCAGAATTGTGTTTGTCAGATGATATTAAATTGTGAACATCACATTTCAAATCGCGTTTTATGCCTGATGCCATCCTCGCCGGTCATTTGGTCCCAACGAGAGGTCTGAGTGGCCCAACAGTTCACCACGCTCACTCCTTGTCCTCACGTTTCACGAAAGCCTCACGATTCATAACATTCTCTGGGAAGTTTCCCACAAGAGACTGTACGGTGATGGGAGCAGTCACGGGAGGACGTGGGCAAAAGGCCAGGGAAACAATGGCAGCTTCTTGTTTGAGCGTCTCATACACGATTCTCAACAGTGAGCTGGAAAGTAAACTGAGCACACAGCTCCTTGTGCACTCCGGTCCCTCAAACCCTGTATTTGAAAAAGCCCTGCTTTGCGACAGGACCCGGGAGAGACTATGGCTTTCAGAGGAAACGTTTTCGGACAGAAAATGAAATTTTCGGGGCTACCTGGGTGGCTCGGTCGGTTAAGCGTCTGACTTCGGCTCAGGTCATGATCTCGCGCGGTCCGTGAGTTCGAGCCCCGCGTCGGGCTCTGTGCCGACAGCTCGGAGCCTGGAGCCTGCTTCGGATTCTGTGTCTCCCCCTCTCTCTGCCCCTCCCCTGCTCACATACTCTCTCTCAAAAATAAATGAACATTAAAATTTTTTTTAAAAATCATAAGCAAGCTTTACTGCCAGGGAAAATGATTTCCTTTCTCTACCTAATGCTGCCTTTCATACTGTCTTATGACGTTTCTTTGAAATAAATACGAGGTGAGCATCGGCAGGAAAGAGACCACTCATTTCGCGGCAGCAGAGATCAATGGAAATGATGGACGGAAAAAGGTAATCCGGCTTATTCCCTGCCCACAGCCTCTGCTGCTGTAGGAGGCGGCTCAGCTCGTGCAGAGAAGACTTATTTTGCGTCTTTCTTCAGGGTCATCCGTCACACTGCTCACGTGTGTCCCACAGACCTGTCGGCAGCAGCTGAAAACAGATTCCTTTCTTGGTGAGAAGGGAAAACAGCCCTGGGAGAGGTATTCCTGGTGTGAGGATGTGTTTCTTCTCCAAAGGAAGCCCGGTTATTGCCAAAAAAACAAAAACAAAAAAACAACAAAACCTAACACATTCAGCTCCTCAAACACTTATGACAGTGACCGAACTGCCTGTCAGTCACATTAAATACTCTCTATGAAATGCAATCAGATGTTTCCCAGGGAGGTTCTGCCTTGAAAAAATTAGGTGAGGGGTGCCTGGGTGGTTCAGTCGGTTGAGCGTCTGACTTGGGCTCAGGTCATGATCTCACGGTCCGTGAGTTTGAGCCCCTTGTCGGGCTCTGTGCCAGCAGCTCAGAGCCTGGAACCTGCTTCGGGTTCTGTGTCTCCTTCTCTCTCTGCCCCTCCCCAGCTCATGCTCTCTCTCTCTCTCTTTCAAAAATAAACAAACATTCAAAAAACATTTTTAAGTTAGGTGATAAATCCTGGTTTTATGAGGCCAAACTGGACTTCCCCAAAAGAAATGGTTTCTTTTTTAACGGACTGCATGCTTCCCCCTTCATTCATTCTTACGCTTAGTAACTACTGAAGGGCCAGTGCTGACACAGAAGGTGCTTTCCTGAAACACGTGCTGGGTGGAGGGGAAGGTCTCACCGTCAAATGTGTGGACGTCGTTTAAAGGTCTCGTTCTGTACCTTGTACGTGGCGCTGTTGGCCAATGCAGGACGCTCCAGAATGTGTTTTGTGCATGCTGCCCGTGCCCAGCTCTGGAGCGAAAGTGCTCTGGACAGATGACGAGGCTGAATCATAGGGCTTTCCGTTAAGGGAGCTGAACACCACCGTCTGTGCGTGCATCTCAGAACCCTACCTAGCACACCTGCTGTCCTTCAAATGTGTTCTGCGCCCTATCCCTTCACGGTGGCGTCCACCCCTGACCCAGCTGGCCCCTGCAGCTTGCATTTACCAGAATCGTCTGAGAACTTGTTGGTGTGCCCCTCTGGAGAGCTGGACCTTCGAGCAACAGGGCTCTTGCAAAAATGCACGTTACAAAGCCGAGCATGAGGAACCCATCTTAGGAAACGCACTCGTTTGTACACGCTCTCACCACTGCCCTGGGCCTCTCTGTCCATCTTCCTCCCCTAGGAACACTGTCACGCCCTCACACTATCCAAAGTACGTCGGACAGACTCGGGTGGGAAGGTCAGGTATTCTAATGGCTGGTCACACATTTGCAGAACGCCTCTCCCAGAAAAGCCCCTCTTGTCTCAGTCTTCTGTACCTCATGTCACGGTCCCTACCCTGTGGCTGGTCCCGCTCCGATGACAGCTCTGGGGCCACAGTACAAATTCCTTTGGGTCATCAGCAAGGGACCCAGGCTGACTGATGCCAGTCTCTCCTTGTGCCTAAGTTCCTTCTAGAGCAGGACGGCTCTTGAGGGAATTATCCGTCCAGACACAGCCCCATTTTCCAGCCGATCCCCACTCAGCCTTGATTAAGTCCGTGTTGGAAATAAATGTCATGGCCGAGGTGTGCCTGAGACCTAGAAGGTGAGGCCCCCACCCCACCCCAAAGGGGGTCTCACAGTCTCTGCAGGACATGGGCCTCGGAGGCTGTGAATGCAGGAGGAGGGGAGATGAGCTCAGGGTCGGTGGCTAATGTGACAGAGAAGAGGGAGGCGGCCCAGGACGGTGGAGTCCCCACGGTCAACCAGACACATCAAGGCAGCTCCACACAGGGACTCCAGACCAACGGCCAGCAGGGCTCAGGGAAGCCAGCTGGCCGTGTGGGATCACTGCTGAGCCCCTGCCCACAGGCACCACGACTTTTCACTGACTGCAAGAGGCAACTCGGAGCAGCCTCCTTTCTGAGCTGACCTCTGTGGCCGAGCGGGCGGCCGGAGGAAGGAGTGGTCACGGTGGCCTACTGCACCGGTCTGTGCCTGGGGAGGCTGCCATTAGGGCCTGGCCGCACGCCCTCTCTCAGGGGAGCTCCTGGAGGGACTTGGGGCATGTGGTCCGGTGAGGCGGGGAGAGCCAGCGTGCCTGTCCTCCAGCGGGCGACGTGGGAGGACGCCCCAGAATCCGCACGCCCATCAGGAAGCGGGAGGGCGAGGGCCAGCTGTGGCTTCTCCCTGGCGCCCCCTTTCCAGGACGCCTTAAGACGGACTTCTAGGCAGAGGGAAGCAGATGAAGAGGCCCCCGGCTGGCCTCCCGCTGGCATCAGCTTCCCCTGAACCCCCGCGTGCGTCAGAAGGAGACAGTGGCCTGTTCTGCAGCGTGCTGGCAGAACTGATGTCAAGGAAGTGCCCAAGGTCCCCTTCAGCCTCAGCCCCTTCACTACCGCGTCACGTAAATGTCCCAGATGCCCAGCGTCTTCCTTCCTGCTCACCGTTCCTTCCCTTCTGGTGAGTCCGCCTGCCCATCCGCCAGGGTTCAGTCCAGCCGGCCTTGACCTCCCTCCTTGACACCTCTCCACACGCCTCGCTGGTGGAGTCTCCGATTCACATGGGCTTAGCCAGCTGTCGGTCTCGGGGATGGCACCGTGAGCTCCCGAAGGCGGGTCACAGTTTTTAGGCTCCCAGCATTTAGTAACACGCCAGGCACGTGGTTATGCCCAACAGATATTTTTATGCCAAAGGGATGCTAAGCCCCAAAAACTATGTCTTTATTATTTAATATATCCGGTGTGCTTCCTCAGCCTGATTTTCTGCTTTCTGGAAGGCGAGGGCTGTACGTATGCCCTGTAGTTCCAACAGCTAGTAAAATAGCCCAAATACGAGGTATCTTAACGCCTCACGGTTGCTGGTGACGATGTCAGAATAAGAAGGATGCATCGCTATGGGTGTGGATTACCTACGTGTCTGTCTTAAGGGATATACGAGTCATGGTACCATCGATACAGTGAGAGCGACCACTGGTTAAATATGTACAAAGCACCCGGTTCTGTCCTAAGCGTGATAGTGATGGGAGAAAAAGAGACAAGGGTGGGACTTTGCTGTCACTTGAGTTTCCAGGTAGGATTCCTGGGGCATACAGATTGGAACCCTCCTACAGCTCCCACAAGGACTTCCCTCAATGTTTTACCACAATAGCTCTGCTCTGGTGAGGGTACCTTCACTCTGATCACCCTAACCCCCCCTCCTCTGCCAAGATACACGGTAGCAATTACCTTCCAAATGTATGGCCCACTGATAGACATCTGGAGGGTCTCAGGACTAATGTTTTACTAGGCAGTAGTAAATAACCTTACCTTATAATAGCAGCTAGCCCCTCAAGGTCCCGGAAGCCTTGTTTCCAAATTCCACAGACTTACGCTCTCCCCAGCCCCACTAACTAAAGAGTATTTAATCAGTCACTCTTCACAAACACAAGTGCAGCTCTCCCTGCCCACGGGGCCTGTCCCCATGCTATAATGAAAGCACCCCTTTGCACCAAAAATGTCTCAAGAATTCTTCCTCGACCGCTCGCCCCCGGCCCCACATCAGGAGGAACACCAGCTCATTTGCCCCGGTGGGGCAGTGTCAGAACTCATTTTCGAGAAGTGGAAATGGAGCCTGTGAAAGTTGCATGGAAACCCTATAAAATCGCACAGCCGGACAAGTGGGGGGCCAGTGTTGCGATCAGGCCTGTTAGACTCCAGAGCAGGATACCTCTCCCACTGCACTCTCTGTATCTAGATGGTTCTGTCATCCCTCGGTGATTACCCCACTGACAGTCAGTGTCCTTTCTGTAGCTAGCAGGGCCGTGGGAAGCTGCTGGAAGGTACCACCCTCTCCCCGGTGGCTCCTGCAGAAAGCACCCTTGGCCTTAGTGATGCTGAGGGTGGACAGATGTTGAATTTAATAGGCAGTAACTGGTGTCAGCACGGAGCCCCGGTCAAGGTCTGAAAGTCCCACCGAGTCAGGCATCGGAGGCAAAGAAGGCCGTGCCTGGCGGGAGCCCTGACTCACCATGTTGAACACGGCCATGGTCAGGATGATGGCGGTGGTGAGGACCGTGAGGGAGACCCGCGGCCAGGGCCGGTCCGCGATGATGCTGGACGACTTCAGCAGCCACAGGAGAGAGGCGGAGGCCTTCTTGCTGCATTGCTGGGAGGACACAGGAAAGGAAACGCGTCACGTTTCTTCATGATGTTTAACACCACAAAAGGCATCGGTACTCTTCCCAGAACAAACAAGGAGGCGCTGGTCTCCGCTGGGGGCCCATCCCAGGTCACAAACCTTCCTCAAACTATGTGAGCATCATGGTGACAAATAAAGAACAAATTAGTTAAGTTTCTGCGATAAATTCAGAATGTGCTTGTATGTCCTGAAATTACGTTTAAAAACAACCCAAACAAAAAACTCAGGGCGCCTGGGTGGCTCCGTTGGTGAAGCGTCTGACTTCAGCTCAGGTCACGATCTCCCAGTTCACGAGTCAGAGTCCCCAGCTCAGGTCACGATCTCCCAGTTCACGAGTCAGAGTCCCATGTCAGGCTCTGTACTGACAGCTCAGAGCCTGGAGCTTGCTTCGGATTCTGTGTCCCCCTCTCTCTCTGCACCCCAACCCTGCTCGTGCTCTCCCTCCCTCTCTCTCTCTCTCTTAAAATTAAATAAACATGAAAAAAAAAAAACCCTCTGATAAAAGAAAACTACGTCAGTCGATTAAACCACTCTGGGGAACGTGGCAGGTCTCAGGTCACAGCCATGATAAAACAATGATCACAATTCGGCCCATTCACATGGGAGACAGATCGGCAGGTAGCTAGTCACGATCCAGTTGGCTACCGAGCAAATTGATGTCCTCACCTCCAAAGGCAACACCCACTGTTCTCAGGCATGTGTCTTCGTGATGGCTTTACCTTATCCTGCCCTCCGGGGACTTTCCACATGGAGACCCTCTTTTCCAAAGTTTTGATGGTGCTAAAAATTACCTAACGTAACCTTTTCCCTCTTACCCATTTTTCAGCACACAGGTCAGCGGTGTTAACTATATTCACAGTGCTGCGTAGTACGTCTCTGTAACTTTTCATCTCGCACAACTAGAGTCTATAGCCACTGAAGAACTCCCCTCTCCCCTTCCCCTTGCCTCCGGCGACCACCATCTTACTTTCCGTCTCTAAAAGTTTGACGACTCTGGGCACCTGCCAAAGGTGCAAGCATGCAGCATTTGTCTTTTTGTGACTGGCTTATTTCACTCAGCATTATCTCCAGGTTCGTCCGCGTTGTCACGGGTGACCAGATTTCCTTGTTTTTGGAAGGCTGAATAACGTTCCATTCTAGGCACATACCGCATTTTATTTATCCACTCAGCTGTGGATGGTCACTGTTGCCTCTGACTTCCGGCTACTGCGAATAATGCAGCAGCGAGTGTGGGTGTTGGCAGAAATGCTTTCGATACAAGAAGGAATTGAGGTATTTATGGGATGGCAGCCAATGTTCCCTCATCATCTGCTGGGGGCCAGACTCTGCTCCGTGGGACTTTAGGGGTTGAGCTCGCCTCACCCTTAAGGCCACCTTTCCAGAGGGGCCACTATAATTCAGACCTCTGTCCAGGTGGCGGCAGGATGGAGGCGGGGAGAGTTCTAAGGCGTGGGTAACAAACTGCCTGTGCCAGGCGCTGTCTGGGATCGACAGATGTCACCTGACCTGACAAGCTGTACAAAAAGGTCTCTAGGGATCTCCACTTTAACCTTCATGCGAAAGGGGCTGTGGCCCTATGGCTAACGTGTTCTGAAAACACTAGAAGAAGGTTATGATTTCAAAAATTAAAAAAAAATTTAATGTTTATTTTTGACAGAGGGAGAAAGAGACAGAGCACCAGCAGGGGAGGGGCAGAGAGAGAGGGAGACAAAGAATCCGAAGCAGGCTCCAGGCTCCGAGCTGTCAGCACAGAGCCTGACGTGGGGCTCAAACCCACAAACTGTGAGATCATGACCTGAGCCGAAGTCGGGCGCTCGACTGACGGAGTCACCCAGGTGCCCTGATTTCAAAAATTTTAAAAAAAGGCCAACAACCTGTACCTTTCTGACTCGTACCACTAAGTTAATATAATGGCAAAGCTGATGTAACATCGATAAACCGCGTAACAGAGAATCCTCAGTAGCACGAATAGACAGCACTTTTATTTCTCTACGTCTTTCAGAGTCTTTCTGCTTCAGTCTTAGAAACAGAAGCACTGCAGTATGTTAAATGCTGATACAGCAACGGAATGGGATTCTGCAAGATGAGAGGTGGTTAGGACAGTAAGAATCAGCCCAGGAGCCCAGGAGCAAACCCCCAGAGTCGAGAGACTTTCTGCAGGTGAACTATCCTCTCTGGCCTCAGCCTCCCCAGCTCTAAAATGGGGACAATAATAATACCTGGTTCCTTGGTCTTGTAGGACGTTAAATGAGCTACATAATAAGGCACCAGGGGCAGGACTCCCAAGTGTTAGCTCCAATTGTTACGCTTATGAAGAAAACATAATAATTCTCAGAGACATTTAATGACTAAGTGTCTCTTTGCTCTGCATCTATACGAACAATAAAACCTCATTCCCCCCCCCCCCTTTCCACTATGGTTTTTCCTCCAAGCAGCCTCCTTCTTTCTTCAATCCTGTCACCAGGTAGAGGCCACGTGAAGAAAACTGTTCAGAAATATGGAAATTGGAAAATACTGCTGGTGGCAAGGACCAGGAAACAGCTGGTGACAGGGACGTGCGCCCTGAGCTGATGTGTAGAGAGAGGAGGGGGAGGAGAGTGAAGATGTGCGGGGAGCAGAGGATGCCGATGGCGGGGCAGAGGAGAAAAGAGATGATGGTCTTGAGGTAGAAGGATCGGGAAAGGAGACCACTGATGCGACTATAGCTCTGAACAAAAAGCACGACTTCGTTCCTGACATGAGAACGGAGCTCAGTGTGCCTGTTTTGGGTTAACTATTCAAGTACAGTCCCCGGTGGAAAAGCAAGTGTGTCAAAATTGGCACCATTGTAATGAAGCATTATAAACGATACCATCTCCCACAGTATTTTGGCATTGATTCAGAAGGCGCCCTTCAGAGCCCAGCTTTACCCGTTTGATCTCTGGTTTAACGGTTGGCATAACTTCCGTCAAATCTGCGTCCCTCTTTGTTGACCATCAGTGAGTCCCACTGCATACACGATGGCCTCCTGCTTACAGTGAGCTCACTGTGAGCCTTCCAGAAATGTGCTTGACTGTTCATGCCACACCCACCCACTGGTGAATGTGGAACTGGCACCGACTGTAGCGGGAGATGTGAAAGGAGGAAGAATGTCAATTAATATGGAAACCCCATCATGGCGTTGGTGCTGGGGACAATGGCCAGTGCAGTTTGCTACAAGGTGTATGGGATGAATATCGACGTTCTTTTCTCAGTATAGGCAGACGATTCTCCCCAGAAAAATAATGTGTTCATAATATGTTTGGATTAAAACAAAACAAAACAAAACAAAACAGGAGGGGCACCTGGCTGGCTGAGTCAGTTAAGCATCCGACTTCCACTCAGGTCATGATCTCATGGTTCATGAGTTCAAGCCCTGTGTCTGGCTCCATGCTGACAGTGCAGAGCCTGCTTGGGATTCTCTCTCTCCCTCTCTCAGCCCCTCCGCCACTCGTGTGTTCTCTCTCTCTCAAAATAAATAAACCTAAAGAAAAACACAGGAAAAAAATATACCCCCCTCTTCCTTCTTCCTCCCTCTCCACTCTGATCCTCTTGCACTGGAAACAACTGGTAACCTCTCACTTTAAAATTTCTCCTAATTCAACATAATAATTATAAGAGCAGATCACATTAACAATTTCATCGGTGTCCTTTAAAAAAATAAAATCAGTTACATGAAAAGAAGTAGATGATGCTCTTAAGGTTTAATAAAATGAAAAAAACATTTAGAAAAGTTACAAATACATTATAATGAGGAGTAGCAAATTTTTATTATTAGAAAAAGAAAACTCATCTTAGAATCTTGCCTGAAAAAGTGGTGAAGTTTATCATATACCCATGTGCTTTCGTGCATTTGTCTAGAGGAACACCTACTTTGGCGTTTTAATTGGCCAACGACTGTGTTTTTGAATGGCGGCCACCAGCTGCAGGAATAATTACTTGTAACATTTAGTGTTACAGAGACTGCCGTGTGTACTTTGATTAATTGTACTTGAGTTTCCCACAGAAAGGCTGCTTGATTTCGGTCAATCATGCTTTATAAAATCAACATTTTTCTTGCTACGCCCTGGGTGAACCACTTTCCTCAGCCATCCATCCACCGTGTGGCACTCACGGGCTAGCCACCTTGTGTTCTCTTTGACGCTGTTCGTGTTTGTCTCTGGCCACATGGAGAGCTGGTTGTAGAGGGGAACCACACCACACCTGCCTTTGTATCCCCAAAGCAGCACAGTGTTGAGCAAAGAGCAGGGACTCGATGGATGCTTGTTCAATACACTCTTTATCTTAACAATGGACCCGAAGAGAAATTTCCAGGGGCCAGAAGCAAAGAAGAAGCTCAGTGCTAGAGGGACTGAGGCTGTGGGGTTGGCCTAGGAGTGTCCTAGGACTGGACAGAGGCTGTAACACCTAGGGGCTGATGCCCGCAGGAGGAAAAAAGGGGTTGCCTTGAGCTTGCCAAGGGTGGGGCGGCTGAGGCCAAGACCCCTGACTAAAATCAGGAGCCTCAGTGTGTGCATGTATCTTTTTGAATTAGGGTTTTCATTTTCTTTGGGTAAATACTCAGTAGTGGAATTCCTGTACACAACTGTTGAGTCATTATATAGTACCTAAAACTAACACAACATGTTGTATGGTATATGTTAATTATACTTCAATAAAAACAAAACAAACAAAAAATCCCAGAAGCCTCAGAATGCTCTTCCCTCCATGTAAAGTCTAGAAAACTCCATGTACTAGTTGAGGGAAGTATCAACACACTTCCAGTGATAAATTCCATCTCTAAATATGGGCGATGAATTTGAAATTACATTATATGCTTCATCATGGGGCCCCAAATTGAGGGGCTATCAATTGGGTCAAAGACCAGAGAGAGTCCTTGGGGTTCCTGTAGAAGTACCCTTTTTACTAAAGGATAATTCCCTCTGAGCATGACCTCACAATAAAAAAGA